TACCATTAGACAGTTTAGGTATGTTTGAGATAACCAGCACTCTGGGAAGCTAACTGCCTTAAGCAAAATAATTTCAATAATTAGTGGGCTTTTGAATTCTTTCAGTCCAATCATCTCAAAAATGTGAAGAGTTGGAAAAAAGCCAAGTTATGAAAACACGGCGGTCTACCTTTACCAATCAAAGCTCAAGTGGGATAATCTGTTGATTGGTTAAATATTAGTGATGCACTCCACATATCTGACTTTTATAGTGGAGAAGAAGCTGTTGTTTATAGACCCCACACATAGTTTTTTTTTTTAAATATAAACGCAGTTTCTGAAGACTGAAAAACACTTTTTAGGGCTGAAAACTAACACTGCACATCACCCAGCGCTATATAACTCCACTATTCAACAAGGTAGTGGCAGCATCATGGATAGGAAAGCTGACTTCCTGATCAGATAACCCCTGGAAACTTCCAGGCCAGTTCCGGTAAGAGGAGCCCAAAGATGTGCTGAGGGACTATATATTTCTCCGTCTGGCCTGGAAATGTCTCATGACGTTGGGGAGAGGAATGTCACGGGTTCCCCCTGTAACCTGATCTCAAATAAGCAGAAGACAATGGATGGGTGAATTGATTTACAACCCATTCAAATGTTTACTTCACAACCTGGCAGTAGGGCGTTTCACAATTAAATAAAATCCTAATTAAATACATTGAATTTTAAATCTGGCATCATTTTGGGGCGGTTTCAGCTAAAATAGCCTTGGGACACATTTAGACTGGAGCCTGATAAACTCACTGGCCTGATAAACACTCAACAAATTGTCTGTTATCTGCAGTCTCAGCCCTACAGAGGAAGACACATGTACCTTGAACAGGAGGATATGCATGTGAGCGAACGCACTGTTTACTGGCAGGCAGGAAATGGGTGGATGGAGGTAATCCAGACGCAGTGACATCCTCCCCACGTGCTTATGACAGAATTACAATATAACAACTTGTTATGGGGGCTTTCTTATCTCTATATTTCTTATAAAATATCATATTATTACACTAAAGTATTATTTTAGCTGAAAATTTTTGCTTTTTGATAAAAAATAAACCTATAAATAAATATTGGTTTTATAAATCTTTGTTATAGAAATATGATCGCATGACAATCTCACACTTAAACTGAAAGACACGTGAAGTGTATGAGTTAAAATGCAAATCAAATAAATATCTGTACCCATATGGAAATGTCAGAAATATTCTATCCTTTAACCAACTTTTTATCATCTAATAAAAAGGACACACCACATTGTGAAATACATGTTTTAATGGGAAAAAAAACTACAATTGTCAGCTAATATGTAACAGTGAGAGATTTATTTGAATGGTGAAGAGAAAATTGTGTGAAAAAGTCCTCCGTATCTCAAAATCAGAGAATCATAACATTTCTAATCTTGTTTTCCTATTTCATAAACATGTCTATTTATGTCTTAGTTAATGTTTGCACCATGTACTCTATAATATAAACACAAAGAGCGAATCCTTTTTGTTCTATAAGGCGTTCACCATCTGTTTGCATGTTTTCTGCAGTATCCCTGCTGCAGGTAGACTGCTGTAAACTGAAGTGACCCATTGCAATAATAACATTAAGAATAAACAGAACCTGCTGCACCCTGTCAGAAAATTAAGCTAATCTTAACTGTCAAATACATCCTTTAAAAAGGTAATTGGTGTTAATATATAAGCTTAAAAATATATTATTATATTAATATGTTATTACAATGCTTCCTCATAGACTAAAGTTTCCTCATGTGACTGGAGAGACTTCACAGGTCATTAAAGTGTGACAGTTATATCGTCTATGAGGTTTCAGCAGAACCTTCCCAATAACAGAACATTCTATAGTTGTACATACCTCGACCATTAAACAGGACATTTAACCATCCCGGCTGCTCAGGCGCAGGAAGCTGGCGGTGTGTTTTCATGTCAGGAGGAGAACGGCAGGAGAGCTCCGCATTCGGCAGAGAGGAAGTGGCACCTGTTTATAGACCCAGCTGTTTCATGCTCGTCGAGTGACTGACCTTATTCACCCTGCGTGGGAGCAACAGGAGGGTGTTTGAAGGGAAAACCTGGCGGTGTTTTCCCCCTGCAGCTCCTGCCCGCGTGCTCTGCGTGTGTATTTGATGGTGAGCTGAACCGCAGAGAGCGGGGAGGGGAGGGGCTACTTTGTAGCCATTGGTTGTAGCATCATGGGGGGTGGGACTTTAGCTGAAGAGGACCAATCCGGGACAGGCACTGTCACGGCTTTCATTTTGATTGGTTGTTTAGAAATGTTGGTAAACAAGGTTTTTATGTTTACTACTCAGATGAGATTCATTTAATCGAGCTACTTGCCTTCTTTGGTTTATTGTGATCTAACAAAAAACACATTAAACGAATAGTAGAAAAGTTTTACCTTAACAGATTCAAGTAAATTAAGGGCGGCTGAAAGTATCTGACATAATAATCGTGTGTCTTCATGGGAAAGGTGTTATAAGTTTTTTTTTTAGAAAACAGAAATGAAGAGCTGGCTCGCCGTTTTTGATGACTTGAGGGGTTGTAATTATTTTGATAATTAAATATAAATCATTTTACAGAGAAACTGTACATTGGCTTAAAGGATTTCTTTGAGCTCTTCGTTTCCTGGTGTTTTTAAAGAATCAGTTTTAAGAAGAGCTACAACTTTCAAATAAGCTCTAAATAAATGCAAAGTTTTACGACAGTCATTATTTTTATGATATTTGACCATTTTTGGGTCTAGGCTTTGTGGTAATATTTTTAAGATTTATATTTTTGAAAATCCTCTGTTTTGTTTTTTCCAAAAACTAATATGTATATATATATATATATACACACACACATATGTATATGTATACATATATACACACACATTAGTTTGCAAAAAACAAAACAAATGTTGGATTTGTATTATTTATTTAAGCGGAAGATTTTCAAAAATATAAATCTTTAAAAAATATATTAGGTAAGGATGAAGAAAGAGGATGAAACTATAAGTAAAATATGAACGTTTCATACAGAATAACAGATTAGGAAAAAGGCTAGCTTACACTTGAGACGTCTCTGTTGACAAACCACTGATCCTTAGATTTTGATCTAACATGTTTGGAAGCCAGGTCAAAATCCCACGCTGTTTTGTGTGCCCCAAGGATCTGAAAATACTGAATTAGAAAATAAAGGCACTTCTCAGAATTTTTTTTTCCCCCTATCTCAACAATATATCTTTTTCATTCCTCAGGTGGTGCTCCTGCTTTTAAGAAAGCTTGTATTGTATTTATTTATAAACTGAGGCACAATTAAATCACATGCATATAGCTGTGTGACTAAACAATATCCAGAGGCAAATATATACCAAACTCTGAACAGTTTGCTCTTTATTTAAGGTGTGAATTGCAAAACCCTGTGATGAGCTCAAGGCCATATGCCAGTATAAAAGTGATCCCATTGTGTTGTAGGTATATATTTATGAATGAGGTTGTGTTAAAAAAAGAAAAAAAAAGGTTTGTGATTTTTCACCATTTCTAGATTCATGCTCTTCTGTTAAGAGTCCCTAATCTTTGGTATGTTAATGTCCTGTTTACAGGGTATGACTTTTCTGCTCTGCTCTCTGCAGCAGTAAAACGTTTGTTAAAGCTCTTTTGCACTTTTACTTTTTAGAGAGACTCTAATGGAAAATACCTACACTGTGGCTTATTTTGACAAAACTCAAACTCAAAATCATGTCACAGACTCCGCATCACACTGATAACACCAAACCAAAATACTGCATATTTGCACCATATGCGGTATATTCAGCGCTCTGAACATCCATATCAATGCATTTTTGCACCATGTTTTATTTCCTCCCACTGTTTACATTTGATCACTGCTGCATTTTATGGAATGGAAATGATCTAAAAGCTCACTGCAAAAATGATCTCAAAATGAGTAAAAACGTCTTAAATTAAGGGTATTTACCCTTAATTTGAGCAGTTACATAAGATGATTTGCCAATGGAATTAGTATTTTTACTCTTAAAATAAGGCATCTAGATGAAATGCACTTGAAATAAGACAAAGCAATTGTTTTTTCTTATTTTAAGTGTAAATTGTCTTGTTCCATTGGCAAAGTGCCTCACTTAAATCCTTAATTCAAGAAAAAATGCACTTATTTTAAGCAGAAATGACTTATTTAGATTTTATTTTTTTGCAGTGCTGTACAAAACAAAATAGACTCAACCAAAAGACTTTAGGATACATTTCCGTCTTCACCTTGTAAGTATTTACCCCATCAAAGGCCTTGTCTGTGCTTGGCAGGAGGTTTTTTTTTGTTTTTCTTTTTAAATAGGTGGCTTCCTTTAGATGGAATCAGTGCATCTCTATACAGATGTCTTTTAAAACACACACACACACACACATATATATATATATATATATAAAAAGTTTTTCCTTTTGTGTGCTAAAGCTTAAACAAGGGCCTTTTCGTGAAAAATTTTGAATTTCAGTTTACCCTGTTTAAATAAATATGAGATTTAAAATGTGGATTGCTAAAATATTATTGAGTTTTATAAAACCCCACTGTATTGTGATCATGTTTTACTTACAATGTCTCAAAGTTTCTCAATATTGTTTCAACAGGATGTGAAATGATAGCATTTTTTGCATAGGACACATTTTGCATGACGTGATCTGCAATGGACATTCTTATTCCTGGCACCAATCATTATTTAATGAATTAGTGCAGTAAAATAACTAAAACACATAACTTATCTTTAATTATTTGACACTCTTGCTTGGAATGGTATCAGTTCAATAAGTGAAAAACATTTATGTTTGACAACAATATCTTCTTTTGTTTAAACATAAACAGGTTTTTGTATTTGCTTAGTTTGTATGGTTATGTGTTACCAAATTGAGGGGAGAGTAATGACATGTATTCAATGCTGACATCTAGTGGATAAAAATGGTTTTTAATTAAAATTCCATTAGACTGATTTTTCTTTTTTATTATAGGCAGTAAAAAAATAAATAAACCCAACTTAACATTTTTACTTAAGTAAAAGTAGCCTTTAAAGAAAGTAAACGACAAAATAAAACTTAGCAGTAGCTGCTACACAAATCAATTAAAAGGCATGTCCATCCTGGCATGAGTTTAACAGGCTAGCAAATGGCGACGACCATGACTGCGTCTGGCGTGATGAGAGACCTGAAACAGAAGAACTGGGTTATTACTTCTGCAGACCGACGGATAAAAAGCACTTAGGGCTCTGACCGTGGAGGCACACCTGAGGGTTTTCTGGACTGCCAAAGGGAGAAAGCTGCAGGGTATTCTCCTTGTCCGAGGAGGAGTTGTTATGATGGTGAGCAAATTTCTTTTTCAGCGCCCGAGCTATCAGAGCCGCGGGGTCATTTTGCAAAGCAGCATCGCTTCTTCTCTTCACTGGATTGCCTCCCGGTGATCTACAGAGATGCAAGACTTTAAAGTTTGCCAAAAGTCACATTGTCTAAAATGGTAGATGTGAACTTTCACCCACAAGAGTCTCTCTTCCCCAAATCCCTTTAAAATGTCCCAGCTAAGCCACAGCAGCTCTGACTAAAGGTGGTTTTCAATCTCTAAACTGTTAAGGATAAGAGTATGTTTTAATTGTTATATCAAGAAATGTTTAATCTAATGTCCCTTAACGGTAAAATAATTCAGTTAGTCTGAAATGTAAAACATTGATCTATGTATAAAACATTTATTCAACGTATAATATAGTAATGTAACAACAACAACCCCAGTCTTTAGATATTTATTTTGGACTTAAGCAAAATATTGTTGCAGCATCAAATTCAACGTGAAAATGTGCATTCCACACCAAATCTGAGCAATCCATGCAGGGTATAAACATTTATGACGCAAGAGGAAATGAACACACTGATAATGAAGGTATTGATGCTAGATTGCATCATAATAGTTCCTGTGAAACTTTAATTGTATACCGACTTTATCAGATCGGAAACAGCAGTGTGATATAAGCTAGCACTAGTGAGTTCTAGCTCTACACAAGGACCTGTTGCATAAAGAAAACATGCTTTTAAACAATCTTAAATCATAAATTAAAGTGTGTGCAGTATTTAAAAGTTTCCTCACCCTCACGTTCCTCTCTGATCAACAGGGTGATTGATATCATATATCGGTAAATAAATGTAACAATGCTTGAGGCAATGCTGCAAACATGTAAATGATGTTGTGACATCTGGGCACAATGGGGGGACTGGAGGATGTTGAAAATGGGAGAATTAGGAGGGAAGATGTCTAAGGAGTCGCCAAAGTTTCCTGGCCCATGATGAGGACTTGTTTGTGAGCCAATTTAAAATCCTAAGTGGATTACTTTGGATCCATGTGCTGAGCAGGTTCCATTGATTGGAACAACACAAGGAGGTCCATTCACACAACTCCAGTGTAGATTAAAAAAAAGGAAGTGCATGGTTAATTAACCCACAATAACCATCACTACATGGTAAGATTTATATATAATAACAGGCACATATAAAATATACTTAATATGGATGAAATGAATATGGACTTCAGCCAATTTCTTAAAGATCCAAAGTAATCCACATATCTATAGAGGGATAAGGAGAATTCTGCATATAATGAGCTTCTATAGCTGCCATCTTTGTTCATATTGAAATATGTACCACGATATGCAGCATTTCCAGATTTTCTGCATTTTTCCTTTACTTCTTACAGATGTCAAACCCCTCTAGTGTTCCTGGCAGCAAGCTTTAACCAATGCAAATTTCCCCACAAGTGTGAAACAAAATCAACAATTCATTAACTCTCTGCCAGAAACATTTAGGAAAATATTTTTTTCTGTGAATGTCTTCCAATGATGCAAGGTAGATATCACAACTTTGCAAAGAGCAAAGTCTTGGAAGACATCAGTTCATACATACAAGAAACAAGTCCATACAAGATTTATCCAACGCGCCACCTCAACCACCAACACATCCATTTCTGCCCAAAACTGAGCTTTTTGTTTGCCCTCTCTCCTGGGAATCAGCCTCTACATCTATTGCAGCAAATATTTTTTTAAGACATTTGCAAGGAAATTAGAGCTTTATTCTCAAGTTTCATAAAATCTTTTCCTATTATTAATTTCTTTCGAAATTTCGAAAGCGATTCCTTCTAACTAGTTATGCCTCGACTCAGTTCCTCTGAAGTTTGTCAAGCTGCAAAACATAAGGCTGGCTGAGCTGCAGGTGGAGACAGGAAAACACAGAACCTGAATCTTCCCCTCTGTACACAGTCTTGCATCAGCTCTATTACTTTAACATGAAGGGTACAGCAACTCTCACCTGAAGAAGCCGCCTCAAGCCACAGGAGCAGCTCTAGATCCAACAGAACTTAAGATTGTCCTCACCTACAAAAGCCTCTAAAAGCAGTCATAGCATGCAAGTGCTCTGATGAAGCACAAAACTAAGCAGTTTCTGTCAAGGTTTTGTTCCCCATCTTTGCTAGATTAAGTTATAATCAAGACCGGACCAATGGGTCTTGTTAAGAGATTGAGAAGTTTTGAATTTGATTTACGCGACTACATGGCGTGTCTGTGGCTGCAACAATGCCGCGGTGGACGCGAATAAATAGACAATCCTACTGTGCAGCCTTAACAGCTTACAGATTTTGACCAGAGCATTTTATGGTTCTATTTAAACATGTCAAAATCTCACAAAAACCTATAATTGGGATTGGAGCAGGTATGGAAAGCCAAATGTGCCGCATATTTCATAAAATAAATACTGTAAATATCTCCATTTGTAAATATAAACATTTAAATGTTACCAAAGATACTTGCATTAAATAACCAAATGTTTTTTTTAATCCTTAGAAAATGCATATTTAACTTGATAAATTTTTCCCCCAGCTTTTATTGTCATAACACTGTCACAAGTACAGAGCAATGAAATTCATTCTCTGTATTTAACCCATCCCCTTGGAGAGCAGTGGGCTGCCATTGTGCGGCGCCCAGGGAGCAGTGTGGGTGAAGGGTCTTTGCTCAGGGAGCCAGAGTGGCAGTATGTGGGAATACACTACATATAAAGTATGAACTGATGGCTCCCAACTCTTCAGTTCTGCCCAGGCCCAGCCAATGCTATCAGCTGGCCTGTAAATACCTATACTTGAAACATTAAATTCTCTTTTAATGTTTTTGTGACATGTTGCTCGTTCTTACCTCTCCACTCGGCGTAGTTTGACTTGATTTAAATCCTTCAGAACGTCCAGCATCGAAGGAATCTTCTTGTTTTCTACGTTTCCGTTTAGCCCCGAGTGCGACTGTGACTGACCATCATCAGATTTGTTGCTCCGACGCTCTCTGATCAGATCCATCACAGACGATGTCTCACTGGAGATTATGCAGAGGGGAGGAGGAGGAGGGGGAGGTGGCGGTGGTGGAGCCGAAGAAGGAGGAGCAGCAGCACGAGGTGTGGAGGAGAGAGCTGTGATTGCAGCAGGGGATGTGAAAGGTGAGCACAGAGCGTTCTGGGTCTCAGTCAGAGATGGAACATTCATTAAGATCTCTTTTTTTGGAGGTTTGCAGAAAATGCTCCACTGTACCTGAAGATGGCGCTGCAGTAACAATCATGGCAATCTGAGCCTGTAGTTTAAGCAGCTCACTCTCCAGCTGTGTGATCTTCTGCAGGGCTTCAGGGTCAACCGTCTGTGGCGCACACCCTCCTCTTCTTTGAGCTTGTCTGGGGTTTCTCATCAGCTCCCGACTCAAAGTGCCGTCTTTCTTTGGGGGTAAATGGTTCCTTAAAACGCCACACAATCAAATACAAATAGTGTTTGCTATGAGGGATTCTGATTAGTACTCAAAGTTATTGAATAGATTAACTGATTTATTGGTCTCACAGTGGAGAAATTCACTGTGAGACCAATAAAGTCTGAAATAAAGAACTGAAAATACATAGTATTATTGTCTGTTTATCCTCTATAAAACTTCTCAGAAATAGAGTTAGAGGTTTACAGTGTCGACCCTAATTTAAAACCTTTAGATAACTTCCCTAACCTTTAAAATGAAACATATCCTTTACAATTCAACTGGAAAAACTAATATGTAATGTAGTAATAGAACAAAAGGTAACAGATTATTTAGCTCACTGCATAGGTAATCAAACCCTCATAATACTTTATTCAAGACTGCGTTTTTAAGTCTTTACATCTTGTACTGGCACATTCTCCAATGTATTCCTCAAATTTATCAGACTGTCTGGACATCTATTGTCTGTAGCCACTTTTAAGTGACCCTGCAGATCTATCAAGTTCAGATTTGCTACCTAGGCTATTTAAGAACATGAACCTTCATCTAACAAAGGCCACCTATTCTTCTGAAGGTAAGAGTCATTGTCAAGCTGTAGCAGACACCAGGACGGTCTGAGTCAAATGGGGGCCCTTTTAATTTACCAGGGGCCAGAGTCCTGCACCGAGTCAGGTATCCGTTGGTATAAAACTTAAATCTATAAAAAATATATATATATATATATTATTTCATAGGTGCGGGCCTGGGTATATATGAACAAAATGTGGGTAACATAGTTACAGTATGAGTCAATTTTTTTAATATTTTCTTATTAACTCTACATCTTAAAAAATGCATTGATTCAAGAATATCCAGAGAACAGTAGGTTTTTGAAGCAATAAGGCAAACCTTTTTTAATTCGGCCAATTTAGAGCTTTCAATCTGTGAGTGCAGCGTGCTCTGGATGTGAGCGAGAGGCAATGTTCTTTGCCTCTATTATTATAAATTGCTGTGTGTACATTTTGTGAACGCGGTTCGGATTGCACTTTATCATTTACAGGTCCGGTTTTGAATCGGGACAATTGCAGGTAACGGATCGGGTTTCGGTTGTCTACGGGTGCAGGCAGATGCCGTTTTGAAAAATCAGACCCATGCAGGACTGTCAGTCTCTGCTTTCTGTCACCTTTGACCAAAACACACACAAAATAAGAAAATGCATAAAAACAACAAATAGCCCCTAATCCTTTGTACCTGGTTCTGGCAAAGCTTTCACCCTCGTAGTCTAACACCCACAGAACATCTGCAAATGTAGCAATAGGAGGTGTGTCTGCTTCATCCTCAATGTATCCATGGGGCTTATAAGTCAGCAGGGGGATCTAAGGACAGAAAAAAAAAAACATTCAAAGGACATATTGCAAGCATGGTATATCCTAAATACTGTAATCTAATTTGCTTTCCAGTAAATACCAGGCTCTGTAGAGGTTGAAATGTTTTGACCTTCCAAAATTAGGCAAACACTTCATATGCAGCCTGAACTCCATTAGAGTTAAAGAAATAAGTGATCAGATACTTCAGCTCTACATTTTTTTTTTACTGGATTAGCTAAATAAGGTACTATTATATAAATTCAATTATCTGAGGATGAATCTTTATGGCAGCCACAAAGCGCAGTTGTTTAGATTACCTGAAAATGGACACGTGGAGTTGGCTGCAGTGGGAGATTTGTCCCAATCATTCGCACAATGCTGCGATATTGACCACACAGCTGAGAGTCCCACACAGGAACAAGCTGCCATCGGATGAAACACAACCACAAATAACAAGAGAGAAAAAAATTAAAAGGGATGGAGGAGGAGAGAGATTCAGTGCAGGCTGAGAAACATGTACTCATCTGGAACAGGGCTGCAGTGTCAGCATGCTTACCATTTCTGGAGCTACACCGAAGTACTCCAGGACCATACACAGCACATCCAGAATATCCTCTACTAAAGACATGGCAAGGACTTTTCCCTGCAGCAGCCGATGACTGCAAAGCTCCTGTTTCTGCTGACGGACTTATTTTGAGGCCAACATGAAGAGAAGTGAGATACTTTATACCTGAAACAACGAAATAGGAACACATCCTACTAAGCTTTGCAGATCCTCACAAGCTTCGGTGTAATTTCAAAAAGCAAAACATAGACCAAAAAAAAAAACAAAAAAACACCATAAGGTACAGAGAAAAGAACAAACTTAGCCAATAAATGGCCCGTTTACTTGTATTGAATAACATAAGTTAAGCGGGTTAATTTGCTATATGGGTATTTATGGGGTCCCATTTGCAATGTTAAGCAGTGAAAAATTAGGAGCAATATTTATGGTTATTTAGCATAGCTGATTCATTCATTTAGAAATAAATATTTAGTGTTTGAGCTAAATATTTATTTTGGAAATAAAACATTTAGTTTGCTAAATAAATATTTAGCTTACAAATTAAATGTTTTTTTTTTCTCAAATATTTAGCTTTAAATATTTAGTTAAACATTTAGCTCCAAATCAGATTTTTACTTTGAAACTAAATATTTATTTAACAAACTAAATATTTAATTTGCAAATTAAATATTAAACAAAGTAAGTTTTTTTTTTTTTATGAATGAATAACAGTGAAAAAATGACTTGGAAAAAAATAATCCCCTTATTCTTCTCTTAAAACACGATTAATAACCATAAATGTTTCTCAAAATTTTTGACTGCTTAACTTTACAAACTGCACCCCATAAATACTGAGGGGGAAGCGTTTTAAAACTGCCTCAGTGAGACAGTGGAGTGGCTTTAAAGCTGGATGTAATGCAAACCATTTTAAATGCAGGTAATTTAAAATTGTTTAAAACAGTTCAAAACAGGAACACAGCCAACCTCGTTGCTACTCTACATCATACATGTGAATGCATCACAAACTGATGGCCACTTTCATTATATCCTTTCATAAAATTCGTCAGTCAACGCTTTCAGTGTGTATCTCGGACCATCAGAGAGAGGAGGTAACATTAAAGCAATAAAAACCTGATCCTTGTAGCTCTGCAGTACCGCAGCATATGGGGAAAAGCTGCAGAGGTCATCAAAAGTTACCCAACAAAGCCGCAGCGAAGATGTTTTATAGAAATAAAGCATATGAAACTTACCGTCTACTCTTCTTTTCAAAGGAGCCACATGTTAGTTGCCAGCCATCTATTCAATCTTTTAACCAAACTAACATGTAATATGTTCAGAAAGATAGCTTTAAGAATACCCGTTCTCACGCCTCTAGGCAGCACTTCCGTAAAGTCAAATAATGCCGCAGTAGCAAACTGCTTTCTTATTGGCTGCAGCTGCGGACGAGGACAAACATCCAATAGGAAAGAACTACTTACAAACGTTCAGAACGTTTGACAGCCAATAGAACGTCGCGAAAGAAGAGCTACAAAATTTGTATTTTTCTGCACGAGCTTCTTCCTCTCTTTGGTAAGAAAACACAATTAAGGTACATTTTAAAACCTCTACGGTTCTATAGGGAATTCTTTAATATAACGAGAAGGGCATATCAGTTTTCAAAGTTTGAAAAATGCAATCAAGCAAATAGAAATGTACTTAAGGTCGAGCAACTTAACGTGTCATAAGATAATAGCATTGTTAGCTTCCCATTATGAAACGCAGATGCTCGAAAGTTCAGTGCTTGTTCTTTTTTAACAAACAAAAATAAGTATTAAACTATTTTGTTCTTAATTAAATTATACCTCCACAATAAAACTACTGCTTACTTAAGCAAACAAATCAGTTTAAACTTCACATCCACTCCGGGTTATCGTTTTAATGTTTCTTCCATTTTCAGGTCTGCTGAGTTTTCCAGTCATGATGGACGCCCTGTCGGTGGTGTGTCAGCTGCGGGATCTTGCTTCTGAACCGCAAAACCGAGCTGTGATCGTCCAAGACCAGGGTTGTCTTCCTGGACTAGTTCTCTTTCTGGACCACCAGAAACCAGAAGTGTTGCTTGCAACCTTGCAGGTACACACATTTAGTAAAACTATCGATTCTCTACAAAAACGGCATTTTGTTTAGATTCTATGTGATGAACAAACAGAAACTGTGGAAATGGGACATTACTAAATTGTTTAACAAAATCAACAATTCTCAAAAAGTGCTGATGGATTCTGGCCCCCTGACTCAATGGATTGTAGTTTCATCTCCGTTGCCCTGACAACGAGTCTTTTTCTGATGTGTTGATGCCACAATTGGAAATATGACAAATTAGAAAGAGGTTGATAATGGGGTTCATTACACTAAATTTTTTACAGCAAGTTGTAGGTTTGCAACTGGACTTTCTCCATTTTTGAATAATGTAAAATCACAGTTTGGTCCTTGAACTTTATCCTATAGTCTAATGACCCTTAACAGAACAGATGTTTCAAAATAAAAAACACGTAAAATATTTTGTGATTATATCATCGTGGTATCAAGCTGTGCAATATTAATATGGAATAAGTTCCCTGCATGCTGTCAACGTATTTGAAACTTTCATCTTACATGCCAATACAAATTATAATAGGTTTTCCATGGGTCATTAAAAAAATCATTAAGTGATTATATTATTTGTTTGTAAATTAAGGCTGTAATTGACATTAAAATTCATTAAATGTGATTATCGTGGCATTTAAAACGCCTTATTTAGAAAAAGAAAATCGTTTATAAAAAGTATTTCGTCAGATATATCGGATATAACTGGTTCCCCGTGTTTGCGTGGAACTGCTTCTGGTTGATCGCAAAGCCGTATGTTCGGAAAAGAAGCTCGAGGCACAGAAAAGGCTAGAGAATGGGAAAATGCAAACTTCAACAAAAGTAAAGGTGACAAAGGATTTTGTCATGTGTGTATATATATATATATATATATATATATATATATATATATGAATGAGAGTTATTGGTACTTGTTGATGGCATTGGAATTATTTCTAAGACCTTAAAAAGTGCATTTAAAAGCATTAGTTACTCATTCCAGTATAAACCCTGCATAGAACAGAGCCTCACTGTAGCAGATGCTCACACCAGACACAAATTACATTAAAATCACAGGGGTGATGGAGGCAATTCAATGTTTTTACTATAAAGAACTAAAAATATTACACATCTTTGTCCTCAGACTCTTCGTTATCTGGCCGAATTACCTCCCAACGTACCCATTATGAAGAACGAGCTGGGTATGATGGTGAGCTTGGAAAATCTTATCCAAAGGTAGGAAAATTAGATACAGATGTTAAAATACCTTATTTTCATCGAGGTGGTACATGTATGCTAGCTGGGACATAAGGTAGAACTTGTTATAAATGATCAAATAAATGTGGTTATGATTTTTTTTTCTCCTTAGAGGGGATCTCTCTCTTGATATCACGGCTCTGGCTAAAGAGGTGTATGGCATTCTGAGGGAGCCTGTTAATCCAACACCACGCACACCGGAGAGGGAGAGAAGGAGGAAGCCTCAGTTCTTTATCAACTCCACCAACAAGAAGGCAAAATCTGTCACACTACACATCCAAGGGCTGGAAAGCACTGTAAGTTTACTAAAGTATTTTACATTTACTAAGTATTGACCTCATTCATGCTGTTAAGCAACTCCTAGTTTACACATGCATTGTCTTTCTGCTTTCAAGCATCAAAGAAGCTTGTGTGAAGAGGCTCTGCTAAAAGTCAAAGGGGTGATCAGCTTCACTTTTCAAATGGCCTCTAAGAGATGTACAGTCCGTATCCGTTCAGATCTTCCCACTGAGGTAAAAAAAATTCTGGTTTCCATCTGGAAGTCAATCAAAAAGCCAGCCAGGAATTTTCATAAATAAAGAAATCTATTGTGTCTAAAAAATGTTTCTTTTCAGAGCCTGGCAACAGCTATCGCCTCCACTAACGTGTTGTCTGCTCAGCAAGTGGTGAAAAACGAAGCAGGAGAGGAGGTGAACAACATTCAAATCAGATTTTTTTCACAAGTTCCTCCTGAGCATTTTAAAATATTTAATGCCCTCCTCTCCCCCTCATGTCATTTCCTAAGGTTTATATCCCTCTGAAATCAAGTGGCGTTCAGGTGCCGCAAAACTCCGCCCTCCCAGACTACCTCCCGGAGGAAGAGGAGAGCCCGGAGAGGGAGGTTGACAGAGCCATTTCCCGCACTGCAGCTAAAGAGGATTCTAGTGGGAGCTGGCTGAATGCCGCCGCAGGTTTCCTCACAAAAACCTTCTACTGGTGAAGCTCACATTTTGTCCAAAAGCTGTCCGGATAGACTCTTCAGCACAAGTTGGGAGGAGCTCACATGAGGGCTTTATGTCTGCCAATCAGCAAGATACAGATTCCACTGTGTATGTGTGTATATAGGGATTTGATGTCCAAAATTGTTCAACCTGAGCAAATCTAAACCTACCTGTGTTTCATTGCTGTTTTCTATCCCCAAATACTATATAAATGTACCATCCTTCTTGTCTTTTCTGTTTATCCTTTACCTCCAAACATTCAAAGCTAAAGGTTTCTGTCATTCATTGAAATCTTAAGCTGTCCTGCTGTTTGTAAGTAGTAAGTAAATATATAAATACTTGTATCGTTTGTGTGCATTGTTTTTTGTACAGAGTAAAAAAAAAGCCCAGAAGAACCAGAGCAAATATTTAATTACTTCAAAGAAAATTTATTTGCTCACAAATAGAGCTGTAATCATTTTTTTCACCTCAGTAATACAATGGTGTGAATAACTTTCTACCAACCAGTATACAGTTATTTAAATTAAGGGATTTCTTTGCTTACAAAGCTTTGTCTTTAAGAAAATATCCACTTATATTTCACAAACCTATAGTTACCAGAACTTTAACAGTCCAGCTGGAAGAAACCTGGGACAAGAACGTGTGAATGGTATTAGTGACAATGTAAACCCCAAAGATCAGGCTGCAAAGAGCTGGAGAGAGCAATGTATGAGTGGCTGCTTATAAAAAGGCCAGCATTTAATCTCTTCATATCTGCATCAACAGGAAGACCTTAGTTTGGCTGAAAATGCTAAAGCTCAGGAATGCATTTCTACAATTCAGTGCAGACATGGACAACTTCAACAGCTGCAATTTCAAAAAAAAAAAAACTCAATTAGCAGCATCCTTTCATAAAAAAAAGGATGAAATCAATATCGGTTAACTCTTCCTCCTTTTGAACTGGTTTGGGGGGGAGGACTCCATTCAGCTTCTAACGCAGCCTAATAAAAGGGAATAGCTAAATACTTCCAGTTTCACTGTAAAAAGTAAACCAACAGGTTTTTAACCCAAAGAAAAAGTATTTTCCTAAGTGAACAAAAAAGATGCAGGCAACTTAAAGAATCACATTTAATCTTTACAGCCATTAAAACTAAATGAAAATGAGGTTTTGCCCTATCCTTCTGTTGCCTGAGAAAACAGAATCCTAATGAAACTAAAGCTTGTAATACTCCATCACCCTGGTCTGTATCTGATAGCCCCTAATTTTAAACGCTGTTGACGAAATACATTGTTTTGCATGACACTCTTTATAACTTTGTGCTGTCATTCCATCAAATCTAAATCAACAACTGTGCAGTTTTGAACCTTTTTTTTTCCAGATATAAAGTCACATTACAGTTGCTGGAATTCAAAGAACATTGAAAACAACTTCAAGTATCACAGTTGGAGACTTAAAAGGTGACTCGGTTTACACTACAATATTTGTCCCTGCTTAGCCTCACTTGATAGAGCAGGAGGGTCAATGTTGTCCTGTGATTTCAGGTTGTTAGAGAATCGAGGGGAGGAACTGGGGCCACATTTTCAAAAAGTTATGCCCAAGTGTCAGGGAAATTAGCTCTTTGTCTGATTTTCCAAAAGTAAAAAAAAAACACTTCTTTTTGGAAGGATGCCTTGTTGTAGTTCTTTGGAGACACCAGTTCTGGGACATGGCTATGAATATATGGTGTTAGGAATCCTTGGTTTGGTTCAGTTCTCATAGCTCCATGATTCTCTGTTTCCTTCTCGGTTTCTCCCGTCTCTGTGGAGTCCTTGCATCGCACAGCAACATCAGGCCACATCTGCATTTTAAAAGGGCAAATAAAGAACAGCAAATTTGTAAATACAGTATAAATGACTATTTTTGGGAAGAAGTTTCATGTTTCTGGCCGTCATACCTTGACGATTTAGCCAGCGTACGCTGACGTACGAAAATTGAGGCTAAAACGCTAGTGTAAGTTGGATAAGTTAGGGGTAAGTTTTATATAAGTTATGAGCACGCTGGCACATGTTGATATACGAGAAATTCTGCATGCTCACGTATGCCAGCGTTTGCTCATAAGTGGTACAGGTAAGTTATGTGATAGTTAACACATTTTAATTTTAATTTACTCATAAGTCGTGTTGTCTAGCTTATTCACCCTGTATCATCCCAATCGTAGGGTGAGCGTGAAGGTGAGTGTGATGGATCCTCCCTGCGTTCACACCCGTGGCCACTACCAACAATTTAACTTAAAGACACTGAATCTGCTGCGACTGCAAACCTTTCTTTTTAGCTTTTATTTTTTTCGTGAGCGGTGAACAGTAGCTAAGTTATTACTGTGACTATGAAGCTGTGCTTTTTATGCTGGCCTGGGCACCTCCGGTTGCATTGCTCCCCCCCCCCCCTCAGGACACTGGCTTGTGCATCCTTTCATGGGCATTACACTAACCTGCGTTATGGATAAGTTAGGCTGTCGTTCGACATTAATTCTGGACTCTGGATGAATACTCTATGTATATACCCAAAATTGAAACGATACATAGAAAGTTCAGCGTATGCCGGCGTTTCAGAAGATTCTGGGACGTCTTGCATACACTGACTAAGTCGTCAAGGTGTGAGTGCGCCGTTATCTGAAGCATCTCACTGGCTAAGTTATGCTAACACACAAATAGTGATATGCACTTGATATCAGTCTATGCCGACATGATCTGATCATAGCTACAGTTATATTGGATAATATCAACACAATCTTTTTGTAGGAAAACCATTTTTAAAACTGGTGATTTCTGCAGGAGCTTGTCTGTCTAATTCAGGTAGAAGAAATCTGCTCAGACTCTACAGACATCAATGCTACACTTCTATAGAAACAGTGCTTAAATTAGAGTAGAAAATGTGTCCCATCAAAACAACATTGTGGGAGTAAACATATCACCTGGTACTGACCTGGCCCTTGCTGGGCTGATATATCTTCTACTCCACTAAGAGGCTTTAGAGGACCGTTCTCCATGAAGGCTACGACAGAAACTTTACTCTCCTCTACCACCTTCTCCTGCTGCTCCTCTCCTTCAGGAGGAGACAACCTGGAATGTGAAGGCAGGGTGATTTCCTCTTCAAAATCCCCGTTCTCCCTAACAAAAACACCAAAACGGAAGGAAAAAGGAGCAGAAATAAATATGACAGAAATGTTTTGGTGTGATGTATTAGTGCTGTTGAACTGTGTTTTTCCCACCACCTCTGGTCTGGGTGGCTCAGTGCAGTGGTGCTGGGCTGTGGGCTGAGGTTAGGCTCACTGTTGGATGTCTGAGGCACGGCGGCAGCAGGTGCTTCAGCAGAACCAGGAATCACTGATGAAACAAAAGATCAGGACAATCCTTCAAAAAACAATCTGAGAGATTTTTGGGAGAAGAGAAGAATGGTATATGGAGTTACCTTCGCTGTCTCTGGTCCTGACTTTCTGGAAATCAGAATAAACATTTTTAAAAGAAAAGTTTGTCGTCTTCCTTTTATAGCCAGTAGGCAGCTTTACCTTTTCAGATGTGTCCGAGCGTCTAGTTCTCTTCATGATCTCCTCCAAACGCTGTGCCGGATAAAACAAGATGCACAGAAAATGAAAACACGATTTCGATATGGATCATCAGTTCATGTTTGAGGATATCACCTTCTTTCTCTCCAGTCGTTCAGCCTCTTCTTTCTGAAAGTGCTTCTCTCTCTTCAGCCTCAATCGCTCCGCCTCCTCCCTCAATCGAGACTCCTCCTCCTCTTTCTAAAGCAAAACACAGGGAAGAATATTGGGATTTTATCTGTGCTCGCAAAATTCACTGTGACCTTGAGTATTTTGGGCACCAAAATCAGTAGCATTTGTATAAAAATCAGTTCAGTGACACAACAGGTGAGTCCAGAATTATTCATACCCCGTTAGGTTTAGATTTGACATTATTTTCATTCAACTCACAAAATTGTTTGATATAAAAAGTGACAAAGTCTTTTTTCAAAAGATAAGCTTCATAAAAGTAAAATGAGAATTAATTTTGAAGAATAGAAATTTTCATTTATCAAATAATGTCTTAAATAACAATTTGAGCACTGTTTGTGGACATTCAAGCTGTCATTGAACACCTCATGCTCACCAGCCATTAGCATGTTTCCACAGGTATTTCTGACAGTTTAACTTTTGCTATGAGCTCCAAGTCTTTGAGTCTGCAAGGTCTACCAGGCCATCAATATAAACTGTGAAAGAATACTTAAAAACTTTAAGGGGTATGGCTAATTTAGGGTTTAACTGTACACCCAATGATCTAAATCTTACAATGCCCACATATGACATTTATTACATTACAAAAAGCCCTTAGTGAAATAACCGACTTGGCTCCTTGGATGATCTCTGACAGTGAACGCATCATATTAGACCTCAAAGCAGATGGATTCCTTGCATCTCGAGTCTTCTTCCAGATTTTGGGACCTTATTTTTTTAAAGAAATACCGACTTAACTTTTTTTTTTTTAAGTGACTTAAGCTTTTTTCCGAGGTGAGACGCTTCTTATCTCTGGTTCTAACCTGCCCCCACCCATCCTCACCACCTTCTACTGTGGCACCATAGAGAGCGTTCTGACCAGCTGACTCACTGTGTGGGGTGGAGGCTGCAGCGCCTTAGACTGGAAGAACGTGAGAAGAGTGGTAAGAACAGCAGAGAAGATCATGGGGGCTCCTCTTCCCTCCATTACAGACATTTCATCCCAGCGCTGCACGTCCCGAGCCCGTAACATCATCAGCGCCCCCTTAAGGGCTGGTTATACTCTCCGCAGCAGTGTATCACAGTGAGCTTGTCGCAGATATTTTTAATTTATGCCCAATTTTGAAGTGCGGTCTGCCCTATGTTATTTCCTGGCACGCCGCAAGAGGGACAATCACGAACTAGCTGTGGGTCTAGATACGGCCGAGGCGGTGAGGAAGTGGGGGCAAATTTGTGCGAGAACATAGGGACATGAGGGTGAAAAAGAGCATGGATCCAGGTGGAAAAAGGGTCCCAGCGTTATAGCGCACCTTGCTCTTCTAGCTGGTCAAATTTCACAAGTTGTTTTCAACAATGGTGGTCATACAAACAAAACAAGCCGGTATGGTACAAAACGGGAAACGCGCATAGTGTAGAGCGGATGTAGATTTGACCAATCAGAGGCCTTCTGTCTGCTGTCACCTATAATTTTGAAGAGGCGCACCAGAGTGCCTGCGGGAGGGCAGGGGCACATTTGCGTGCACCGTGACACACATGCAGACGACCTGGTGTCTGAGCATAAATCAGCCTTTACACCCCCACCATGGCCCGTTCTCCCTGCTGCTTTCTGGTAAGAGGATTTGCAGCATTTTCTGCAGTACCAGCAGGTTCTGTAACAGCTTTTTCCCCACTGTCATCAGACTGCTGAACTGTTGAACTCTAAACTGGTCTCTGCATAACACTTGCAACATTATTTTGCTCCACCAACGTGGCTGAAACTTTTATAATTCTTTTAAATACAACACAACTCGTTCTGCTGCATTTTGCACCTTATTTATTTTTCACTGCACTGAACCTTTCCATATTAATTACCTTCTTTGGGGCGACAGTGGCGTTGGATGTAGGAGTTTGCCCTGAAATCGAAGGATTGAAGGTTCAAGCCCCGGCTCAGACTTTCAGTGTCGTCGTGTCCTTGGGCAAGTCACTTCATCTGCATTGTCTTCTGATGGTGGTCAGAGGGCCCGGTGGCGCCAGTGTACGGCAGCCTCGCTTCTGTCAGTGAGCCCCAGGGCAGCTGTGGCTACAATGTAGCTTGCCACCATCAGTGTGTGAGTGTGTGCGTGAATGGGTGAATGAATGTAATGTAATGTAAAGCGCTTTGGTCATGTCTCCTGACTTGAAAAAGCGCTATAAAAGTACAGGCCATTCACCATTTACCTTTTGCACCATTATTTTTTAAACTGGTTTTCCTTTTCTCCAATACTGTTTACACAATGATAACTGCTGCACTTTAAATGGTAATTTTGATTTCACTGTTATAAGCTGCTCATTTCACTGTTGGAAGCTGAAAGCAATGTAATTTTGTTTTGTACACACTCTGTGTACACAAAATGACAAAGTTTGTCTAAGTCTAACTTTATGTGGTGACACAGAAGCCACAGACTAATTGAAATCCATGCTGTGTGAATATCCCTCCTAAATGGCCTCTTAAATTCATAACTCTTTAAAGACTGCAGTTTTTCTTACTGCTTTAAAAAAAATTTTTGTTTTACTTAACTTTCCATTGCTCTCTTTAGAAATCCCAGTTTGTGGCTTTCACTCAATATATTAAATTCAATACAAAGTTGAAAAAAAAAATGTATTAAACCCAAATAGAAATAAAATAATTGTGACTCTACATCAAATATGTATTTCTCTTTTAATTATATTAGTCAAACATGGACTTTTTCGATAGTATTTTATTTTGTTGAGATGTAATTTCATCAGCAAATTTGGCTCCTAAAAAAATTAAAACACAAAACTAATCTAATGTGTTTTTGTTCTTTAACCTGTTTTCGGAGTCTCTCGGCCTCTTCTCTGTCCTTCTGAAGCTTCTCCTCCTCAGCCCTTCTGTCCTCCTCCTCCTCCTGCCTCTTCTTCTCCTCTGCCAGACGCTGGGCCTCCTCCTCTCTTTTTGCCCGCTCTTCAGCTTTACGGCGGGCTATCTCCTCCTTTGCTAATCTGAGCAACAATGAACCAGTATATGTTGATTACAATTGACCTGCACCGTTAGTGCTGCAGATGTCCTAACAGAGCCCCCTTAGAGTACCTCGCCTGCTCCTCCTGTTGTCTCCGCTCCTCCTCCTCCCTCTCTCTCTGCTCCCGGGCCAGCCGTCGTTTTTCAGCCAGTATCCGACTTGCCTCTTCTGGATCTGTGGTACCAGCTGACAGTTTCTGAGCTGGAGGACTGTTTGTACTCTCTGTTAAGAATCATAAAATAATTGCTAAACAACAAGCAAAGCGCCTCCATCATGCAGATAATAATGCATCTCATTCTGACTGACCGTTTACTCCAGCCGGTGTGCTTGAAATCTGCTCACTGGAGGGTTTGTTCTGACCCACTGGTTGGGGTCTGGGTTGAGAAGGACTTAAAATCTGCTCCTTCTCCTCTCCTTCCTCTTTTGGTGCCGTTGGTGTTGACGGTTGGGAATTCTCAGGTGTGATCCTGACAGGACGAAGGTTCCCAGGATCCTCTGAAATTGGAGACTTAACTAGCTTGGGGGTTGACGGGCGTCCTATCGTTTTCTGTGGAGGTCTGTGAACAAAGGAGAAATAAAAACATTTTGTAGCTGATGCGAAAATAAGGTCAGAGTTTCAAATGATCTTTTACCAGATAAAGACAAATTCCTGTACCTGCCAGCAGAGGGCGGTGTTGTTTTGTTGGACTTCTTGCCTGAAGAAGCAATGGACTTGTTGGGGGGTAATGACAAAGTAGGAGCCAGAGGGAGGGAGAGGTTGCTCCAGGATTTTCTGACACTCTCCCGGTCCTTTTGCTTAAACAGATTTTTATAAAAAAAAAATAAACAATTTAGAAAATGCTTTTTTTATTCTTAAGATTTTTTTTTTCCATTAAATTCTGTTAAAGGAGAATTCCGGTTTTTAACACTTCGAGAATCAAGAATCCACCTTTCGTATTCCATTTTCAGAGTTTTTTAAAGTGTTTAACAGAGACGTTAGCACCTCGACGTCGGAGTACACAGAGTGTAGCGAAAAGACTACAACTGTGTAAACAGGCCCCATTTCCGTTTCCGGTGGCAGGGGAATATTGACTATTCCAACAGAACTCAATGGGATTTACAAAATGCTAAATAATACACTACAGGAACGTTTTTTCTTTACGAAACTTTTTTTGGAACGTCATTGAACAGCGCTGACGACCCGGTGAGTAGCATATTTTAAAAAAAGAATGTTTAAGGTTGTTTTAAGGACATTATCGGACATGCACAATGGAAGCCATTCTAAAGCAGCCAGGGGGGGATTCTGCATGAGCCAAAAATCAGAGACAGGACCAATTGTCAAAATTTTGGTGTCGATCATTCGATTTCATCCTGGACACTACAGAAAATGGGCTAAAAGTGTTAAAAACCGGAATTCTCCTTTAAATATATACCACCAAGCCAGTATTTCTTTTAAAAGCTTGTACGGTAAAGTATCTCTATACATCGTTTAAAGAAGAATCAAAGAGGCTGATTGGAAGTCTGCAGGAAGTGCAAAGATTCACAGCCTAAATAGATGAATCTATTAGCAGGACAGCTATCATTCATGGGCTCCACAAATCCTGGTTTTATTTGTGGCTAAAAGAGAGCAGATCTTAGAAACATGACATTCCATTTACAAATTGCAGATGGCAGGAAAAAAGACAATTTTACTGTACATCCTGTGCCTTATGCAGAGGAAAACAGATTGTCTAATGATGAAACATGATGGGAGCAGGTTTTTCTTCTACAATAACAGAAAGGGTAACCAACATATATCATATGGAGAAACAATACTATAGCTCAGTAAAAAACTTTATGTCTTATTATTTGGCCAGGTCAAAGTCTTCACATTAATATAATATGTTATATTTACATAGTATTCTTTAGCCCAAAATAATCTTCATTTGTTGATAAAGTAAATCAAGCACCACACCAATTACTGAAGTCATAATAATAGACCCTTGGGTTAGAGTTGGAAAAAATGCACCAACCATTCAAACTAAGGATGCTTTCAAAATTATAGGATACATTTCCCATTTAGTGCCATGTATGACAGGGGCACAAAATTGATATTTTTATAGGAGGAAAAAGAGGAATTCAGCTGTTCAGACTACCCTTAAAAAGTCGGATGTTGTTCACACATAAGCACAAAGTTTTTCTTTTTTTCATAAAGTAGTGAGAGAAATAGCCCGCACTAACCTGCTTTGTTTGCCCCTCATTATTTTAGGTTTATTGTGAGGCTCAAAGGATCCCTATTACTGTATACTATATCCATTTTTTCTCCTCCTGAAGTATTTTTTTGCGAAGACATTGATAAGCTGCACATTCTGTCCCTTGTTTTTTGCAAAGCTCAAGGACCTTGGGTCTATCTCAGTCGGACCTACGCATCCCCCTTACGTAAAAATATGTCAGGTGTGATCATCCCCGTCGACTTTCAATGAGTCGACACAATTTTTTTTGTCAGATGGGATGCAAAAATCGGATTCGGTGTGTTCTGGCCTTAAGACCTGCATCAAAAACCACCATGTTTGGGGTAGAAAGCCTCATAAATTAAGCATTTAATCTCCTGTTAGGATGGTGTATGAGTGGTTGGGATGGACATCGACGAATCAAAATGAAAAAGTAGAAAGAGGAGAAAAGCCTTTGTGAACATCTGTTATAAAACATGACTGGTTTTATACTCTATGCAATACAACCAAAAAAGTCCTAGTTTAAAAAATTACAATCTACCTTTAAATATGTTTTAATTATGCAATAATTTGCACAAAAGTAAAAAAAAAAAAAATGAATCAAGTTAAAGAAACATAATACTACAGCACCTTATAAAGGAAACTTTTAGTAGCAAATTGAAAAAGTCTGACCACATAGGTTATTTGATCAATATTTTGGCACCAAGCATTAGTGGACAGCCATAAATCTGAGATGAGTAATTTTTATGCTTACTTCTTAGGCAACTCTTTGATGGTGAGAAATGTTCCCCTCCTACCTGCATGGTTCCCGTGGTTCTCCTCCGTGGGGCGGTGGAAGCAGGGGAAGCTTTCTCTCTGCTGAGGCTCCTATCCTGGCTTCGGCAGTGAGGGAGAGGCTGAGTCTGCAGGGCCTTGAAGGACATGGTGCCCATGGGGTGGCAGGAAACTGAGCGAGGACACATATGCATGGCTACAGTGATGATGCACAAGGTGGGAGGGAAGGTTTGGAGTTTTTAGGAGCGGGTATGGTGTGGGGATTTATGGGACACCAGAGGGGATTCGGTAAAAAGAACAAAAAGGCCAGAAACAGGAGGTAGTGAGAATGACGTTAGGTTAGTGGTACGAACAAAGTCATGCGTTCAGGGAGGTTAAACATGGGGTTGAAGGAACAAAAGATGATGTTTGGTAGTAAGAAAGAGCAGAAGAGAAAGAAGTTGTTAGTGCTACAGACTAGTTAAAGGGCTACATCTTCACTGACAATATCCAACACAAGAAATGCCCTGAATATGTAAGTATATTTAGTTAATTATTCAATCTGGACAAGCTAGTTAGCATTACAGGTTATTCCTAATACCAATCACAGGAAATATGCATGAACTGCAACACTAACATAAGCAAGAAAGCACATTAAAACACTATAATCAATGTTAGAACTAAATGAAACAAGACAGGAATTTATTTTGTGTGCAGATGATGATTTTAGGTCTTCTCCCAAACTACTCATGTATACACCACATGGGCATCGCATAGCAATTACTAGTTACATGTGCAGATCAAAGACTGCAACTTGTTTGATAGTTTCTTTTTTGGAAATATTGATCCTCCCCTTAAAAAAAATTAAATAGAAATACCGACAACCACACTTTAATTTGTCGACAACATCTTTTAAGCTCGTTTTTTTATGTGACAACACACTGAATTCTTCCCCCAGCCTGTAAATGGTATCGCGTCGATTGCTGGTCATTTGTGTGCTTGTTCTTTATCCAAAATGTTTGATAAAGCTACCCACGGCTGAAGCCAAATAATCCAACATGTCTTGACACGTACTGCGAGGATCTCCAGTGCTCCACTCCAAAGGTGGGTAGTAGCTAGTAGTATTTATTCACTCACTTTTTCCTAAGTTAATTTGATTTAAAAAATTACCTTTAGGAGTAGTTGTACTTCATCATATCTTTTACTGAGTTACTGTACATCTTCATAAAATATTGTTCTTACTGGAGGGTAAAACACTAAATAACAAACAAGCTTGCTTTAAAAGGCAGAGCTCCAGGCAACATAAGTCCCTCAAAACAGGTATTCCATTTGTGTAGAAAAGCTTACTTTATATCTGGTGAACCTAGTGGTATAATTTTTAAGGTGATGTAAGGAGTAGATATTGTCACTTGAGCTACTTTTATACTTTGATAAAAAAAAAATAGGGTTTGGAAAAGTGCTTCTGTGATGATTTCTTATCTTACATTTATTTGTTTATAAATATATTTTTTATAGTTTTTAAACGTATTTAAAATGCAAATAACTTGTTAGTTATCTTATTGTATAACTTTAAATAGTAAATCAAAGGTTATGAGTTACTCAGTACTTGAGTAGCAGTTTTAACTAACTTTTTTTATCCAAGTAATGTCTTAAATTTCTTTAAAGCTATAGAGGACTATGTTTTATTTCCAGGTGGATCATCTAAATAAGTCGTCCTCCTAATTGTCAATCATTCATATTGCCGTCCTACGTACTCTTCCAGTTAGCCATCTTTTTCTGTGCATGCGCACTTTCAGCCGTAAATATGTGGTGAGCTACGGTTTCAGACAGTCACTGAAGCTCACCTTTCTCACCACGGTTCTTTGAAAATGGCCAAGGGTCATTAGAGAAAAAGTGTCTACAATGTGTATGAGAAGAAAAGAAAGGCTTCAGAAGATACAGATTTATCCCAGAATGCTTCGCGCAGAGAGCTCTCCTCACAAAGCATTATTGGATTTGCTTTCACAGCGGTCCGCTGTCGCCGTAGGCTGTCGATACCAGACAGTGGTGACTAATAACAAAGATGGCGCAGGCAACGCGAAGTGGACAAGGAGTTATATGATCGACAAGATGCAAAAAGCAGTGATCATCTGTCCGAACGGTCAGTTCACTATATAGTCCCCACTCTATATAGTGATCGAGGGATTTAGGGGTTAAAGCGGAGATTCGGACACAGTAGACTTGTATGAGCTGTGAGAATAACAACTTTTAAACAGAGCGTGCACAATGAGAAATGGGCTCATGCATGTTCTCACACGTGTTTAATAGGCATTCCATCTCGGGAGAAGGTAAAGGGTTGTGCATGTGCATTTTTATTTTAAAGTGGAGAGGGCGGTTCTTTCAAAAATTCGCAAAAATCCTCCACTATTCCTTGAAATAGATTTGATACATTTGATAGATTTTAACATTCAACATATAATGAAAGATTTAGGTAATACCTTATAATTATAAACAAATTATTGGGATTTTTTTCTGATAGACCATAAAATGGCAGGACATAACTGAATTGAAATGACTTAAATTTACTTAATGAATCCCACTTTGCAGTATTTACAGATGAAAGTGTGTCTGGGGTTTAGTAAAACATTTGCCCATTCTTCTTCGCAAAATCGATAAGACCAGTCAAAGGATAAAGAGTGCATAAATGTGGTTGGGACACATTAATTTGTTCTGGGTGCATGTTTGTATTTTCCATCCATCTAACAGATTTTTATTATAAGCTTTTACTGTATTTAGCCTTTTCTATCTTCATATAGGCTGTTAAAAAACAATTAATGCCATTACCCAAGTTTCACAGAGCCATAAATACCATTATTTATTGTCTGACATTCTTCCACATTTTGCTGTGGAAGAAGAAATTGGGTATGAAAAGGTTTGTAAATAAACTGGATCAATATTACTTAAATTAAAGAATAGAAGACATTTTTATATTCAACTAAACTATGCATTAAAGAATGCTAATAATTTTTTTTACATAAACTTTATATATCCTTAAACAATACCAATCTACCTTTTCTTTACAAATTAAGGTTAAAAAGTCAGAGCTTCTTTGGTAACAGAAGAAGACGACAGTCTGGTATCATTGGCTCAATTCTTCCTAAACAGCTTAGACACCGGGATATTGTCCTCCGCTTTATTGCATCTGGTTTCATTCATTAAGAGTTGGTGGAGACCCACAGTAAGCTTGGGATGCCTGATGCAGGCTAGTAAAAGCAGTACTTGATAGTGTGATGATTTAAGTCCTGCAAAATCTTAATAAACTTCAAAACCCTACCAGTTAACCATCTATAGAAAAACTCTTTGGATCAAGATTTATGAAATTTATAAGAAAAAAATTCCAAATTAGGAAAACCCCTGAGTGAACAGCAGGGACTCCATGTTACCTGACTGGTCTCCAGACAAGCTCATGGCACTGCGGCTGCGGGCCAGGTAGGAGTGCGTTGGCTGCTGTAGGCGGTTCACCACGTTGCTCTCCCATGGCGTCAGCGGAAGGCGGCGGAGTCCTGAACACAGACACATATAATACCTTAGCTTTGATTTAGCACGGCTAAAACTATTACCGACCTACTGATCAGCCCAAGCAGCCCAGCAAGCAGATTATAAACCATTAGCAGCACCAGTACATCAACTCTTTATTCCTCTGAGGTGAAAGGTGAAGAGAAGGTGAATTTAAACCATGTACACCTCATTGCATGCATTAAATTGGAAATGTTTGAGGAAGCAAACACCCTGGAGTGAACGGCACACAAAGGCTAGATGCAGAAAGGAGAGGGATAACAGAATTCTGCAACAAAGATCAAAACGCAAAAAAAAAAAAAAAAAAGTCCCAGGATGGATTTTATGCAAGCCGTTTCAACACCTTACAAATTAGCCAATAGCTTACCAGGATTACCCTTGAAAGTAAATGATTTTCATTTTAATACAATTACTCATTTTGATTCACTGTATCATTCAAAACATACAGTACAGTAATGGTTTGGTCCTTGTTTAGTCCTCTAAAAAAGTAATTGACCTCCAGATTTCTTCAGTTTGTTTATTTCAATATACCAAATGAGTTTGATGTCACACAAAGATAACCTGAGTAAAGGCAAAATACAATTTATAGACGATTTTATTTATTTAAATAACTGAAGTATAATTGAGGGCATTTGAAAATCTTTGCATTTATTATTTATTCAGTCATGAACTGCCGGTCAATTTCATGCAGCATAATATCATAACCTGACAGCTTGATATTTTTCCTCTTGTGAGGAGTAGGATTCATTGCTGTATCAATACCAGCAAACTTTCTGGTCCAGAAGAAAAACTACCTCCAGACCATCACACTGCACATGCTTCTTCTGAAATTCTGTTTAAGTTTTTATATCTTGTTTATACTTAATCACATTTATTATTGATGTTTTTTATTTATTTATCTTTACGCCACCGCAGTGCACGGGTCTGTTTTCTAAGTATGCCTTTATTTTTCATGTAAATAAACTTTCCTCCCCTTTTGTGTTTTCTCTATATGAAGATAATGGTTCTCAGTCAGGCTACCGACTATGCGAAACCTTTTAAAAAAAATGGGGCTCATTCGGTGTATATTTCCTTTTTTCTTCCATTTTTTTAGTATTGCTTATTGTTCTTATGTTGTCATACAGTTGCTGTTTACTGTGAGTGTGGTCTAGATTCTACAAGTTACGCAGGTTAGTATTGTTCACTTATCTTGATAAATCAATTCTAAATTAAATATTTTTCAATTTTACTCAGCTTATCTTTGAGTGAGCATCAAGATGTTTCCTGATCTGAAATATGCAAAAAAGAAGTTATCTAATGGGATAAAAAAAAGCTTTCAATACCTTTGCAAGCAAAAGATAATATAGGCTGAAAACTGGAGGAATGAATCCTCAATTCACTGTGCAGTTTAACTAATTACACCAAATTATTGTTTATTTTGTTTCTTGGTAAGGCAATATAGAATTAAAGCCAATTAATTAATTGTTATGTATGTAATTGTTAAGAAATGGTATTGTTCTCCCTAGACAGGATGCATAAGAGCATTCACACAAAACAAAAAGATTATTCTACATAAGAGTATTACAAAAGGCTTACCGTATTTTCACGACTATAAGGCGCACCGTACTAAAAGGCGCAGTCTCAGTTATGTGTCCCATTTCTGTATTTAACACACACATAAGGCGCACCGGACTATAGGGCGCATTTTTTATATACAGGTACATGTCCTCTACTACCTTTAAATAGCTCTACTGCGTATTTAAAAATACAGCGGGGGCAAACTGAGTATGACTGTGCTTTATTCATGTATTTATTACAAAGTATTAATCAAACCTGGGAGCTGACCGTGAGACAGACACATCGCAGATGACAGAGCGCTGTGATCACTCCTAAATTAACTGAAAATCCTAAAACCTGCCGATGGAATATGTTCGCTTTTATTGCCGGTATCCTGGTGCCTGCAGTTAAAATTATTTAGATGAAAAACACCTGCCAGCCACCGCGGTGAGGCTGCTGATGAATGGATTTCTGCTGTCGGTGCACCGCTGGTATGTGGGGGTCTGAGCGCCTCCGACAGAAATAGATAATCTGGATGAACTGACTGCAATTAAGTTTTCAGGTGGACTTTCTCACTTAAAAACATATTAAAACTACTTTATTCCCACTGATCACAGCAAATATAGCTGCAAGATTTAGATTATTTAGATGAAAAACACCTGCCAGCCACCGCGGTGAAGAGGAGGAGACACGCCCACAGGCTGCTGTTGAATTAAGCTTTCAGGTAGAAAAATAGAGCGGGAGCAAAACTGAGTATGATTGTGCTTTATTCATGTATTTATTACAAAGTATTAATCAAACCCATCAAAGTCATCATCCTCTGTTTCTGAATTAAACAGCTGCGCTAAATCAGACATGCCAATTTCCCATTCTGCGCTGTCAGAGTCACTTTCCGTGCAGCGCAGCTCCTCAGAAATAATGCCTGCTTTTGCGAAAGCTTGAACAACAGAGCCAGCAGACACGTTAGTCCAAGCATCTACAATCCATCCGCAAACGGTGGCGTAATCTGCCCGGCGCTGCCTTCTTATCCTGAAACTGTGGTCTCCGTCTGTCATCCATCGCTCCCACGCCGCTCGCAGCCTTACTTTGAACGGCCGCTTCACACCGATGTCGGGCGGTTGAAATTCCTTTGTCAGACCTCCCGGGATAACGGCGAGCACAGCATCCATTTGATTCACCTTTTTTTTTTTCACATCGGCTGTGAGATGGGCACGCAGCGATGGTGATGCGTGGAAAAAAGCACCTGGTCTCCTCACATACACCTGCCTCTCCTCATCCATCCAGCCTTTTTCATTTGCGTTAATGTCATCAGAGCGCTGTGTCTGTCTCGCTGTCAGCTCCCAGATCAGCTTCTCTGATTTGTTGATGCGGCGCGTCCAGCAGCAAAACTTCAATTTTTCCATCTCGAGCAGCAGCAGCGCGTTGGCGGTGCGTCAGATACTTAAACGCTCCCGAGGCGCTGCGGCTGCGGGACCTTTTGCTGCGCCTATACGCGCGTCAACCATTGACTTTGCATGTAAACTCGCTGCTTCTGCTGCACCTGCTGGGTCCGGTTCACACCGATGTTGAGCGGTTGAACAGCAAGCACAGCATTCATTTGTTTCCCCATGTTTTTCACATCAGCTGTGAGATGGGCACGCATGGAGTCACATATTAACAGCGATGGTGATGAGTGGAAAAAAAACACCTGGTCTCCTTACATTCAGCCACTCTTTCATCATCTCCTCAATGAGGTGGTCTCAAAAGTCGCAGTTACAACACACATAAGGCGCACCGCACCAAAGGGCGCACCGCACATTTTGAGGGAAAAAAAAGACGTTTAAGTGCGCCTTATAGTCGTGAAAATACGGTAGGTTGGAGTCAAAACCTGATGATTAAATGCACAATTAGAAGCATGTGGACATTTCCACTAAATGGTGAACTGTTGTGAATTGTAATGCATTCATAACCAGCAAATACATAATTTGGTAAGCAAAGGAATTCTGAACAAACACTTTCGTGTTTATTTAGTTTTCAGCCTGTTATCTTTTCTGAGCTGGACATTGCATTAAAAGGAGCCAGAAGTGTCCTAAGTGAAACCTGGGTTTTTGTGCTGCGTGGTCTTCCCCTGATGTAGGCGGGGTTTGGAAAGAGCTTTGCTCATAACAGGGGTGGAAGTTGTTCTCATCTGTAAGCCTGTCAGCAACAAATAAACATCAAAAAATACATAACATCGTGGTGAGCTTTGCTGTAGGAAAAATAAAAACAATTGATTAACAGTTCAGGAAACCTTAGCTGCGTTTATAGCCTTGGGAGACATTTTAATCACATCTATTTGTCCAAAACATATCACTCTACAGTAAAGAACCATATGGGATAAATGAAACCAGCTATGAAGACAATGTAATTGTGCTAAATTAATAAAATTTAACTTGCACCAAAGGAATTTCAGCTCCGGTTGACCAAACCAGCTCTGCCCTTTACTTTATCTACATTCATCTGCTGGAGCTCAGGGACCGCAATAGAAATCCTGACCAGTGCAATCCTACAAACCATATTTTTATGTATGACCCTCTATTCTAAAAGCAATAAAAATGAGAACATTCATCAAAATGGAAAGAAAATATAAGAAATCCCGTTTTCTTTCATTACCTCGGTCTGGTGAGTGCAGCAGAGTGGCAGAAGAGGAGGAGAGCCGCTTGGTAATGATGGGGTCCGTATGTTTGGATAAATTAACAGTGGAAACTGACCTTCTGTCAGCATCTAGAGTCAAAATGAAAAAATAAAATGTTAATAGCAAACATGAGGACTTGAAAGCTAGTAGTCTAATGGTTTCTACACCTTGGGTTAATTTCTAAGTGGTAAAACTACCAACAGGTAGTAAAAATAAACAAATTAGTGCTAAACAAAACATTTCTGTCCTTGCCATACAACTTCAGACAACACCTGGAGGGCTGCTAACCAAATCCATCTGTCTACATGTGTACTACTGCTAGCAATCTATTCCTAGCTCTCTAACGGACAGAGAACAATAATATTCATAGTGGGACGTTAATCCATATCTGCGGTAGAAACTGAAAGCACTCTGCATGTGCTCCAGTCCAGCAAGGTCGAGTGGACAGAGGAAAGCAGACTCGACCAAACCTGAACCAAGACAGGAAGAGATCGGAGAGCAAAGAGCAGGTAGAGGGGTAAGAGAGAGGTGGAATTTGAGAACAAAAGAGAGAAAGAGAGGGAAAGGTGGAGAAGGGTGTGAGTAAGCAGTAACAACAGAAGGCAGCCAACCTGAAAAGTGCAAAAATAAACACTAAAGAACATGTCTGACGAGCTGGAATGATTTCATCCATAGTAGTCTACTGCCAGAGACACAAAATCAAACAATGTTCAAAGTTTTAAAAGGGAGATTTCTGTGGGAGAGCTGGATGTGTTTGTATAGGGCCAGTGCAGGTGTGAGATGTGTCTCAGTACCGGCTGGTATGCTGGTAGTGTTGCTGTGCAGCACTCCTCCCCAGGACCAGCGGTTTTGCTTTGGTCTGGTTTTTTGGCTCCTCTCCAGGGTGCGACGTATCACCGCCTCATGACGTGCCTTCAGTAAGAACAGGAGAAAATCCTTAGTGTGGCAACTTTTCACGCTTTGAGCATAATCTGTTTAGTGGCTGGCAGTGAAATATGTGTTATAGTTTAAATTTTAATATGGAGAGCACTGTTTACATATCCAAATCCTTTAACCCATAGTTTATATAAAGGTGGCATTATTTTCAGCCTTGCAATCAATTAAGACCTTTGCTATAGCATTCATTTGGAGCTCCTTTTTGATCTTAACCTAATTTGTTTTCAGTTTACTGTTTCAATTGCATAAAGGTAACCCTGATTATTATGCTATTCAGATAATGCATTTGAAATATATGAGCTTATTAGTATTAATTCTGAGTAGGTATACTTTATTTATACTTCCCATATTGTATTTATATTTCCAAATTGCACCAATTTTCCATTTATAAATAAATGGGAATTGGTACAGCTTACAGTGAATGTTATTAATTTTGGAGGATAAAGGATCATTTTCTGCACTTGTCTTAATTCCATCTGAATACAGGCATTACATGAATTAAACTTTTTTTTTTTCAATTAAGCAAGATCTGATGGGATTTCAAACAATATTTGATAACTTGGCAGATTTTCATACCCTATGACTCCTCAACAGTTGCCACTGTTATATTCTAATTCTTTTAAGAGGCTTTTGAGGCTTTAAAAGAAACAGAATGAAAAAAGACCAATGCATACTCGGTCCTCCTCCTGTTTCTGTCGTCGCTTCTCCTCCACGGCGGCCCGTCTTTTCTCCTCCTTTATTCGCTGCTCTTCCAGTTTTCTCCTCTTCTCCTCCAGCTGCTTCTCATAGTGCTGCCTGGCTCGCTCCTCTCTTGCCTGCCACTGGGCCTCTTTGGCAGCTGCGTGAATTAACACACAGACAAGTTGCAATTTGACATGCGTTTTTAAATTCCCAAAGACACCCGTGCAAACAGGCATATGTGAGCGATGTGAAAGGTCAAATGCAAATCATGTGAGAATGAAACAAAGTAAATCCATGAGCTCCTTAGATGAAACCAGATCCTTTACTTACATAAAGTATATTCAGGATATATAACAAACAGCTTTTGACTTTTCAGCTTACTAAAACCTGCCCGATGGACTGCCACCTTATGTAAGGTGGAATCCATGGCAACTGGGTACCTTGGTTCACCCTGGACTTTATGCAACATCCAGGGAGGCCAGTACTTCACAGCTGCTGGCCAAGTTCAGCCACAAAATGTCAGGAGAGAAAACACAGGATCCACATTGGATTGCCTTAAACATCAATTTTCCTTTGGAAACCTTTTAAACACAAGAAGATAAAGAGTGCTCACCGTTCTGTTTTTCCCGCTCCTCTCTGCGCTCACGGGCCAGCCTCTGTCTCTCATCAATCTTGTTAAAGAGCAACGACTCTGAAGCAAAATTCACTGGTACTGTTAGTAAGTCTTCCCATTAAATGGAAAGAAAATAGTAGAAACTGTTAGATTTTTCCTGTCAGAAAAAAGCATTTAATTCACAATTTATTTACCTGTTTTGGCAGCATAACTACTTGTGTTTTTGGAGGTTGCACGGTTAGGAATTGGAGTGGGTATTGGTGTCCCAGTGTGGGAGTAGTTTTGTCCAAATGCTGAAGAGACGGTACCATCCTCTGACTTGTACTGGGAGAAGGATGCTAGAAGGAAACACAACAGAGCAGCATAAAACATGGAGGAAAGTGGAAAAAAGTAGATTAAAACTGAAAACTGTTTCAGGATCCGTCATGCAGAAAGGTCCTGACCACAAGAGGCTGTACAACTTTTTCCTCCAAATTCCACATACTTCCAACAGGATGGTGTTTTTTAGTAGACACTGGATTGTCACTTTAATAATTACATCCTTTTTTTATGCCAATACATTTCAAAGATAAAAAAATGTAAACTTTTCTAGCCTGGATCTACAGTATCATAAGATAAATATCTGATATAAACCGTTTAAAATTAATGAATAAAACTTTTACTGGATTTTCATTGGTTCCTAAAGTGATGTGTAGTTATGAATCAGAACATTTTGTCTCGATTGGCCAATACCAGCAGGGATGGCCTTAAACAGGCTGATTATTTAATCCAACTCAACATCTTTTTTTAAAACAAAAGTAAAAGAAGCACAAATGCTGTATGTTCAACTGAATTAGATGTTTTTTTTTTCAGCAGTTAGAACACTGTGTCAAAGAACAGAGAGAAACCGTAGAACAAAAGCCTTGAACCATAACTGCATCTCTTCAGTGGCACTAAAGGCACTGAAGTCATGTTACTAGATAAGTGATTTTATCTTAGAATGTACCAAAAAAATAAAATATTTGCATTCCTATTTAAAAAATGAGATAATGATATAATTTCCTGATGTATTACAGTTAATAACGAGTGCTTTCTGTGTAAATGCTTCTCAATGACTAACCGCAGGAATATTAAATCTCTTTATTTGTTCGTTAATTTCATTTAAACATTGTCATTTTCCCTAAACAGTGTACATTTCCTTTAAATAATGGGCTCCGTCTGACCTCATCAAATTGTAGCTCCTACCTCCTGTTACTAGCTCCTATTCAACAGTCAGCACACTACCATTAGTAAAGAAACTCCAGACTGCTCTAATAATTGTAAAGCATGCTTGGTAATTTGGGAGCTTAACACCTCCACTTTAAGGCTTAGGGTGAGAAAATTTTTTAAACGCAATAAATGTAACCAAAAATTGTGCGCTTCTGCAATTTGGGAATTGCAATCTTTAATAAATTGCCAGTATATAGATGTTGTCAGTCATTTTTTAGTTGCGGAACTAGACAATAAAATGAACAAGAAATAGTGTTGGTTGGTTTTATGTTCTGGTCGTCTCTAAATTGGCCTGTTATGCTATAGATGGTGGACGGATTGATGGATGTTTATTGCAGTTCAAAAATCAATTAAAGATTACAGAGGAGAAATACAGTATTTTTTTCACAAATGCAGCAATATCTACATGTTATTGATGATGTAAATGACTGGAAAGAAAGGCAACCATTACAAATGTTTACACCCTTGCAGCTGTTTTTCTTTTTTTGCTTTATTCTATAAATTTATCAGCGAAAAATAAAAATCATCCTAAAATAAATCTGACTTTTTTGTCAAAAAAATTATTGCCCCTAAGCCTAAAAACTGGTTCACCTCTTTCTGAATAACTGCCAGACAAAGGCACTGGGATTAAGTATAAATATTACCATGGGCGTCACCAGACCCCATTTACTGGGGCACGTGCCCCAGTATAAATGGGCTGTGCCCCGGCCCAGTATAAATCTCATGAATATTTGCAACAGTATTAAATTTTTTTAATGCATCAATTTAGATAATTCCAACGGAAGGAGACGTATATTTCTACTCAAATGCACAGCAAGTGCAGGCTCACAGGTAAATTAACACGCTGCTCTCAACTGAGTTGGATGGGACACTGTACGGCCACGACCCATTTTTAGTTCTGGTAACGTTTCTTACCTGTCAATTTTATTATTTTCCCAGTGAAACCAAATGATTTATAGGCTACTAACTGAAAATTACTGCATTGGTTTGTAGATGGATATCAGGAAATTCCTCACACGAAGCAGAGACAAGGAAGCAGTAAAACAAGATGAGAGAGGGAGGTAAGGTCCCGTAATGAATAAGTGATTTAAGCTAAGCAGTTACATTAGGGACGTTATAAGCAATATGATAGATATTTACATAATTATAAATTTACGTTTTTTTAATGTTTGCTGTAGAAAAATGAGAATGCAGGTGCTGGAGTAGGAAAGGGAGGAGGAGGCGAGACTGACAGGCAAGAGACAGGTGAAGGACAGGAGAGACACGACCATGAAGGTGATGAGGGAGCAACAACCAGCTTCCACAAACAAGAAGGAGACATTAGTCACTTAGGGGGAAAGCATGATGGTCCTAAACAAGTGAAGTTGTCCTACCATCAACAGCACAAATGTGGAGTAAAAAAACGTTCATTTAATTCAAAATGGTTTGAGCTTTTCCTGGTTAAAAAAGAAGGCCTTGTCATCAAGGATATGCAGTGTGTTTTCAACTTGCTTGATAACATCATATTCCCAACACTAACGCAGGTCATCCAGATCTCCCTCACAATGTCAGTCTACAGCTGGAGTTGTGAAAGGTCATTCAGTGTGTTGAGAAGGATCCACACTTGGCTGAGGTGCACAATGGGACAAGACAAGCTCCATCATCTTTCTATTTTATCAGTTGAAAAGGAAGAACTTTCTAAGCTGAGTGACAAGTGATTGACCGCTTTGCAAAAATGATAAATAGGAGGTACACTTTAATGCTCAAAAAATAAAAGGAAAACTTAGCTCAGGATGAGTTAAACTTTCCCCCGAACTAAAACTCTGTAACCTAGGAATTAATGATTACTTCAGAATGTGTATAAGGAAACTTTTTATTTGTCAAAGTTGTTGATGTCTTATTTTTTATAGCAGCAATGTTGAAAATGTTCATGTTTGTTAAAACAAATATGCTCTTATACTCAATATCTCAACTGGTAATTTTGGTAGGAATGTATCAGGGTTGGGCAGTGTGCTTGTCTGTATTTATGTATGGAAGGAGGGGCATATGCAGTAGGGGGCCAGTGCCCCAGTAAAGCTTTGTGCCTAGCAACGCCCCTGAATATTACTAAAGGAATTTCACAGAAATATTTTAGAAGGAGGAAAAAATCACAATCCAACAGCTTCCACTAATTCTGACTCAAATGAAAGACTACAATATTATCAGCCTCCTATCTTTTCAGGAACATGACGGCTTGTTAAGTAATTACACATAACACAAGTGGAAGAGGAGCAAAGTTCAGATCTCATATCTGACTTCACCAGTGGCAAATCTCTAATGTTTGACAAAGTTTCTCTGAGCTCCTGATCTATTCCCCCGTTCCTGGATAATGTCATACATCCAAAACAAAGACTGTAAAGTGGCTAAATATACTTGAAATCAGTTTCTTGTAGATAAAGTGAGACACATAACAGTTGAATTACTGATTGGTTTTAAAAATTACTTAAACATTACTAGACAGGAGAATCACCCTTCTTATATGAAATATTGTTCTTCCTTTCTTTAACCAGTTTTAACATCTAATAGAACTGCTTGTTTCATTGTATTTAGAAATGTTATCTTAGCTTTTTTATTAGTTTTAATAATATTTTTAACCTATACTAATATATGTTTTTATAATATTTGAATTTCTAATTGTATTAGTATGGTCTACTTAATAGTTTAAGCAGTACTGGTTCCTACCATGCTGTCACATCTATTTATTACTTTTCTGCTTTTGAAGTTGTTGTAATATCTTGCTTTTTAGGTAGTAAAAAACAAATAAATGAAGCTAAACTAAACTAAAAGCTATAAACCAAACATTGCTGGCTCCGCCTCACAGCAGGCTTATTGTTTTACAATGACTTACAACCAGAATGGAAAAAAAGAAAAAGACATGAGGTCATAGTTGTCAGGGTATTGTATGTCACTGTCTATGGGGCAGCTGCAGAGGTGTGTACACAAGCGCTTACAGGTCTGCACTTCCTCGGGTGGATGTGGTCTTAATGACTATTGTTGCAACAAGAAAAGCAGCACCAGGACTTGAAAATCATTTTTCCTTAAATAAAAGATCTGTTCAAACAGGAAAGGATCATTTCCCACAGCGCAATATTTGACTTCCATCCATGTAATGTCATCTATCTTGACTTGAGATAAAAAAAATTGCTTTATGCTTAATAATTAATAATTAAGTGTACATAATCACATATCTGAGGGCAATTCCAAGTCTGATATAAAGAAACACAGCAAACCACCCTAGTTTTATGGATTTCCAGAGCTTTGATTAAGCATTGTTCGGTGCCCTATTCAAATGCATTCCCTTCAGAAGAAGGAAAGGCCTGAGCCAGATAGGATAAAAATGTTTCAGCTGATTCAGCTCTTCCATAGAAGCCTTCTATTTATAGAAAATATATTAAATATATTCCTATATAGCTTTCATTATGAAATCTGTAAAACCCTTAAACGATTGGGCATTTTTATAGTTCAAAGGGTTTTATAAAGCTACTTTTGTTTTAATTAATAAAAAACTGTGCTCCTTAAGCTTTGTTTTCACCAGGGATGACACATTCTTTGTTAGACCCCTAAACTTCATTAGATAATGATTTTTACAAGACAAAAACTAGTACTAAGTTTTCCAGGCAGGCACTTGACTACAGTATGATGTATGTATTAAGGTGGAGGTCTTCAACAGGTTACATTTGATTCAACTTTTATTTTATATTCCCCCCTGAAATTTTTTCCACTAATTGAAATGTCTTTAAACACACATTAACATGAATTCAAAACACTGTAATTAACAGATAAATGGAGGCAGTAGATGTCTTTCAATCATCAATGCACACATTCAACAACACACAGGAGCCCTTTCAAGTTGGGCGCCGTTTCATTCACAGCACCTGTCCCATCAACCAGGAATCAGAATCAGAAATACTTTAATAATCCCAGGGTGAAATTACTTTTGTTGCATTACTCCATATGTAATAGAGGGACTATAGGACCAGTTTGATTTAACACAATTGCATGTTATATACTGTATATATATATATATATATTTAGGGGTCCCTGCTCCATCTTGCAATCAGTTTAGGGGTCCTTGGTCTGGAAAACATTAAAGAGCCCTGTATTAAGGTATTTAGGTTTGGAAAAGTCAGTCCCAATCTAATAGTTTCAACAGGATTAGGAAGCCCAAAAAAAAAAAAAGAAAGAAAAAAAAATTCCGTTTGATGAGCGAACGCACCAAGAAGTTAAAGACTGCCGCACATATATTTTTAAAAAAATCATGTTTGGTGCAGCATGCAGAACAGGATGCTCAGCTTTGTTAGGTGCAATGCACTCAACTTATCAAGGTGCATACCAACTCTGCTGTTGGAAACAGATTCACATACATAACTTTGGGAAGAGGCGTAAAGCTTCCCATCGGATGGATGGATGGATGGATGGATGGATGGATGGATGGATGGATGGATGGATGGATGGATGGATGGATGGATGGATGGATGGATGGATGGATGGATGGATGGATGGATGGATGGATGGATGGATGGATGGATGGATGGATGGATGGATGGACAAAATAAATTATAAATTAAAAAATTTAATTTCACCTTTTCAAATGTTTCAGGCATAAACTTTTATTTGTAGATCATAAAGCACATCAGTTCTATTTCCCGCCTGTCTAGATAGTAAGGGGATATCAGGTTTTCCCTCTTTGACTCATTACCCCCTGAAACCCGATTTCTGATAAACAGAAGGCAATTGATAAATAAGAGCCAAGATATTCCCCTTTGCCATTTGAAACACACACAAAAAAACATAGTTATGGTTAAAAAAAAAAGTGTATTTAGAAGTAATCATTGACCCCTATTGTTTCAACTGATCACCCATCTGTTGCATAGGACATTAAGTCAACAAATGTCAGATATCCTGAATTATATTTGCTTGTCCATACTGGCCAGCTGTTTAACAGCATTCGCAAACATAGTAAATGTCCAACACAGGCTCATTGTACCTACTAACAATAAAGGCTATAACTAGGTTTACCTGTCATTGCTGCCCTTAAACTTTGAACATTAAAAAAATATATAAAATAATTCAGCTATTTCGGTTATGCAATGAACTACATTACACAACACAATGGAGAAAGGGCTTTTTTAGAACTCTGGGTACTGAGCAGAAAGACCTGGATTTAATCACACTATTTTTTAGATGTCTAAACTGACAATTTAAGTTAACTAAACACCACATTTCAAGATTTCTTTCAAGAAAATTATATTCGGTTGCTGTATCCTCAGCTGTATTTGTTTTGTCTTGTAAAAATCACTAAGTTGGTCAAACCTCCCATCGGTCTATCATTTCATATTAAAATGTACCTGAACATCATCTCACTATGACCAAACAGTATTTGTATGTAGAAGAAATACATGTCTTTCTTTACTTGAGGTACAAGGTTTACTTTCCCCCACAAGCCCTGAAATTTGATATTGTAAATTATGTAAAAACACAAAATTTTATAAGGATATTGATTTTCTTTAAGGACTAAAATTATAATATGGAGAAAAACATGTTTGCATTTTTGTAGTTCCGATCATACTATAACCCAACCTTATCCTAAAGAGCATGCCTTTAATACCTCTTTTCCACATTTCTTTTTTTCAATATAAAAATGCAAGGTAAATTATTTAACCCAGACCCTCCGGAATGGCCAAACAACAAAGATTTACCTGAGCTGTTCATAATTTTAGATGTGTCAATCGAAGCGAGTGATCTGTGACCCTGAATGGGCAGTCCACTCCAGCTAGATGAATCAAAGGGCCGAGAGCTGGGTTCCTACTTCCTGAAAACATTCTTCATGGCAGAATTTGGGCTAAAATAAGGATCCCAAACTCCAGGTAGAAGCCAAAATAAAAACAATCCCATCCCACTCTTTATTTAGAATGAAAAATGAGCGAGGTCAGTTGGTGTCATGGCTGCTGACTCCTAGGTCCAAGTCCTTTTGTCCCAGTGTGCATCTGTGCATGTGTTTATGCATTTTGCATGGGAATGTATGACAGAGAGATATAAGTGAGTGTGACTGTTTAATCTGCTCCTCCCTCCTCTTGCTCTCTGTGTCTGCTTCTCTACACGGCCTCCCCGCCCCCAGTCTATCTGCATTTATCGCCGGTCAGATTAAACGGTCAGAGTTGGCGATTAATGCTCTGCCGTCCAGGCTAGTGGGTAACAGGCAGGCACAGTGTGCAGCTCCTTCCTTCCCTGAAGCCTGAGAGGATTAGCTGTTGCTAATGCTAAGCCAAACTATAACCTCCAACCAACAGAGAGGCAAAGGGGGCAGGGTTGGAAGCATTCCTTTATAGATCTAGGATGGGCTTTCAGGTTTGGATGAAAGGTGGAAGAACAGGGACTTTTATGTTTGTTTCCATGTGCAGACATATTTCAGCTCAATTGGAAGAAAAAATGCTGGGGTCGCACATAAAGCAACAATCCTGCTGAAATGTCGTTATCCTATCTTTGTTATAGAACATCTCATATTACTACTTAATAAGGGACAGTATTATATTTGGTGGTACAGGGAGCACAGCCACTTTGGAAACATATACAAATTTTGTGACACTAAACGTACAGGTCACGTTAAAGGTATAGTGGATGCTCCTTTTCCAGGTGCATCATCAAAATAAGTGGTCCTCCTATTTGTCAATCATTCTGGTGATATGTTTACGTAAGGCTGTCCTACGTGCTGGTCCCCATTTTCACTTAAGTGGTAAGTCTGACATAGTGGGAAAAATTGCAAATCTTCTTTTGGAAAGCAAGCTTGTATAAGGGATGCAAACAGCAACTTTTAAACAGAACATGAACGAGGAGAAATAGGCTTGAGTATGCTTTCACACACGTTTAAGTGGCGTTCCATCTTGGGAGCGGGTAAAGGGTTGTGCATGTGGTTTGTTTTTTTTTTAAGTGGGGAGGGTGTGTCTTTCAAAAATTCGTGAAAATCCTCCACTATACCTTTAAATAGATTTTATACAGGCTGAGCAGGTTTAACCTTCAATATATAATGAAAGATATAGGTTATACCTTATAATTATAAACATCTTATTGAGATTTTGTTTCTGATAGACCACAAAATGGCAGGACATAACTGAATTGAAACAACTTAAATTCACTTTTATGAATCCTACTTTGCAGCATTTACAGATGAAAGTGTGTTGGGGGTTCACTAAAAGGTTTGCCTATTCTTGTTCGCGAAATCGACAAGACCAGTAAAAGGATGGAGAGTGAGTAAAAAGCAATTTTAACATTTTCCTGTTCACTTTCAAGTGAATTCACATCTGGAAAATGGTTGGGACACATGAATTTGTTCTGGGTGCATGTTTACATTTTCCATCCATCTAACAGATTTTTAAAATAAGCTTTCACTGTATTTAGCCTTTTATATCTTCATATAGACTGTTAAGAAAGCAAACAATGCCATAACCAAAAGTTTCACAGAAGCAATACATTTCTGAGGAAGAAGAAAGTGGGTATGAAAAGGTTTGTAAATAAACTGAATCAATATTACTCAAAGAAGAGATGAGTGAACTTTTGCTAATTTCAGTGCAACGATTCACAGCCATCTCTACAGAGTTCATTCCCCTTATTTTCATCCATTATTGAAGGTTCAAGTGAGTTGCTTCATAAGAAAACTGCAATAACTTATGTTCAAATTAGACATGAACAACTGAAGGTATGGCTACAGAGAGACAATTCAAAGCTTAAAAGGATCACACATTAAAGCAAATAATCTACAGTATATAAGTGCAGAGGCAAAGAATATAAAATTAAGTTAAATATTTCACATGTGGAAGGCATCCTTTCTTAGCAGTTACAGCATTTGATACAGTCTTGTTTTAGACTTATAAAACATCAAAGTCTCTAAATAAATAATTCTTCCTTGTTTTCCTTGTTACAGTCTCCTAGCTGCCATCTGACCACAAGTTTCCACAGAAACAGGTAAAAGCTGTCGATCCAGCTTCTTCAAAAAAAGTAACACTTAAGCTTTGAAGACCAGCCAAGTTTAAAGGGAAAGTCCCAGCACTGCATATTTCTTACGGCTGCGACTGCATTCCCATGCTGACGTGTTGATAGACCTCTGAGCTTACCAATGTGTTATAGCCACATACGCAAGTGAAGCTCAGTGCACCTTCGCTCTCATCTCTGCCGTCCTTGTCTGGACCTAATCTTGCATCCTCAGCTGAATTTTTTTTCTTGCACAAACAAAACTGTCCATTATCCCAGGCCCTGTGCAACAAATGTGTCTGCAAAGTGCAGGAGGAACCAAACCATGCTGAGCGATAAAACACAGTGCAACATCTTCATTTTAAGTACAAATATATAACAAGAAAAAAAAAGTCCAGAAAACTTTGATGCGTTAATTTTCCGTCCCCCTGCAGCCCTGACTCTCTAGAGAAGCGTGACTTTCCTCTGCTTAATTATAAACTCTGTGTCCTAGATAATGACCCTAATTTAGGTAAATTTATGCACAACCAAACTTGCCTAATGACACAAAATAGCCTTCAGCCTCATTTCCTTCATACCTTGTTTCTTCCTCCTGCCAGCCTTCCTCTGTCTCTGTACCTCCTCTTCCTCGGTGATGGTAAACAGTGGTTGTATCGTCAGCCGACTGTTTCTCTTCCTCAGCCTCCACTTGTCTCTGGATGAGCCACTTCCTCCGCCTCCTCCTGCTGCTTTCCTATCCGGCATTGCCTGCCCTGTTGCAGCAGCTGGTGCCTCGGGGCTAACTCACCCGAGCCCTGGCCATCCCACCCCACCCAAAGTTGCTAAGGAATTGTGGCAGAGGAGTGTGGAGGTCAGAGTCACCCCTTAAAAGGTATCCTCTTCAGGATGATGTAGACATTATACAGGTAAATACAAACATCAATGCTCATCGGGGTACCTTAAAGCTAACAGGCTAACAAGAGGATAGACTAAAAGGTGAAAATGTTGAGGAAAGCCAAAGAAAGGCAAAAATGATGAGTCAAGAATAAGCCCAGTGCAGTGCGGATGAAGGAGTCGGAAGCAGGAGACAAACGGAGCGCTGTACCAGTGAGCCTGGCACAGAGAGAGAGTGAGGATGAGGATGAGCACTCCTGGTGTGGCTTAGAGGAGAAAACTTAATCCACATGATGAAGGTCCTTAAGAAACACACAACTGACTCCTGCACTCTTCAATAGGTTGCTGCCTCTGCTCTCTTAGCTTTCCCCCACTCCACCCCCCCACTGGTTAGGTCTAATGTACACATTTGTAAGGAAAATGACATCACAGAACATTTCTTCTACTGTACGAAGATGCAAACCCAGGAAAGAGGGGGATAAAAAGGGGTCAGGAGAATTAATAAAATATTTAGGGCAGATCCGGTAGTGGAAGATGAGCCTGTTCAACGTAATGGGTTTCCCTGACAACAGCAGCACGTGGACCGGTGACACAGTGCAGGAGTAGTAGTGGGACAGGTAGACAGCGTAGCAATGAATGCAGTTTCTGATGCTATAACTTCAAAGCACTGGAGACATTTCTTTGGAAGGAGTCCAGAGAGCACATGGTTCATGGCTCCACCCACGTCTTTCATTTAAAGAGAAAACAAGTTAGTTCACTACAACAGAAAACAGCCATGAGTTGGTTCCTGCTAGATGGCTGTGCAGTTTGTGTAAATTCACACTATTCAAAGACACGTGTTGGTCCAACCTTTTGAGAGATTTACAGAAAAAAAAACAATTGTATACAAGGCCTTGTCTATATAAGACTCAAACTCACTGCGGATCCAGACACACACACACACACACACACACACACACATACACTGTACCAGAGACTGCACCTTACCTGCACTACCTCAGCCTGGAACAAACTATTGCTGCTGTTTTTATTGCTTTTTATTGTAATGTCTATACTTTATATTTATATTTATCTTACCACTGTTACCTGTCATGTCCCGCACTTTGTCAGTTTTTAAATGTCAGTCTTGTATATTTGTATATTGTAGAGAGTAAACGTAATTTCATTTCCCTTGTATGTCTTGTACATATGAAGAAAGTGACAATAAAAGCTGACTTGACTTGACTTGAATTGAGAAAGCTTCCTGGAGAGGTGGCGGAACGTCTTCAAATCTTGGAAACCAAGTCCAGTGGATATTTTTTGAACTTTTACGGAAACACCATAAATATGTTGCCTTAAAACAGCTGAATGAAAGAAGCTCAGACACAAAGCTTCCGTTCAGGCAGGCACAGCAGGAATTTATTTACAATCCAAAAGTATTTCCAAAACTTAAATTCAGCTTAAATTCTCTGTCAAAATAAATTAACAATAAATTAAACAAACATGAATCTCTGTATAAAACAGTTCCTTTTATGTATTCCCATATTTCCATGCTGTTTCTTATATTTTTAATAACAAATACCACACCACAAACAGATGGTTAGGCACTCTGCTGTTGATTCTTCCTTACTAATATTAAACAGTTTATTTTTATGGTCGACGGACTGGGCATTTAAAATAAAAAATGTAAAGATTCTGGGAGAACTGAAAGGTTATAAATTGCTCCGGTTGATCATTGGTGCCAAAATCTATTTTTTAATTAATATTTTAAGCTACCATATTTTCCGACCATATGCCGGAAAATATAGTTGGAAGACATCTTCTTATAAGCTATGCAGCTTATAAGAGGATGTAGCTTTTCTGTTGATATTTCCTAACCGCCAGAGGGGGAAGTCAAAATTGGAAATCAAAGAATAAGAGGCTAATTTTAATTTAGCACCAGAACATGCAAGCAGCAGGCGAGACTTATTTGTGTCATTTAAGCTGCAGAACTAATGAGGAGACTGGGCTCAACTCCTGCAGAGCTGAAATAAAGAGCCAACAAAGCCCCATCTTTCAATAGAAGCTCCTACTGCTGTGAGCCAACTAGCTAACCAGAGCTAGCATTCTTCTTTGTCCCTACTCTAGGGGTGATATGTAGAGCTCCCCCTAAAGGTTTGGTGGGAGACAGCCGAGT